AGATTACATAAAGCATGACCTTTGACCTTTGTCTGTGTGAAGTCATGTTATTCATACAGAAACATAAAAACATTTCAAATGTTAAAACTGAGAAAATGAATCCTTTTAATAAATTGATGAGCTCGTGAATGAGAATCAGCACGGTCCTCAGCCAGGAAAGGGTGCAGCGCCCACTCAGGGACAGCTCCTGCTCCAGGTGGGGGAGTTTAAGTATCTCAGGCTCTTGGGGTTTGATAGAAGGGAGCGGAAGAACCACAGATGGATTAGTACTGCAGTGACGCGGACGCTATACCTGTCTGTCGTGGTGAACAGAGAGCTGAGTGTATCTACGTCCTTATCCTCACCTATGGTCACAAGCTGTAGGTCATGATGGAAAGAACGAGATTGTGGATACAAGCGGTGGAAATGAGCTTCCTCTGAAGGGTGGCTGGACTCTCATTTAGAGATGGGATGAGAAGTTTAGCCATCCGGGAGGGGCTCAGAGTAGAACCGCTGCTCCTCCACATCAAAAGGAGCCAGCTGAGGTGGTTCAGGCATCTGACAAGGATGCTCTGGGCAGGTAGGACAGCTCCGTGTTTCCTCTCTAACATCAGTCTGTGATGTTCTGATGGAGGATTCCAGCTGTTCAGCAGTCCTGGCTCTGCTTCGTCCTGTTGTTTCTTACATGATGCTCCAGATGTTGTCAGCTGGCCAGAGGTCTGGACTGCAGGCGGGCCGGTTCAGCGACCGTGCGGCTGAGACAGATGCAGTCTGCGGTTTAGCGTCCACGTTCGCAGGCGTCTGACCTCAGATTAGTTTTAAAGGAGCTTTGATGTTTCTCCATCGTGGTCACGTGTGGCTTCTTCTATGCATGATGCGTGGACTGCACGCTGAGTTCTCATTGGTTGACGGCATCAGAAAGGGAGCGACAGCAGCATTCACTGCAATGTAAACGAGCAGGGAAAAAAGGAGCATGAAAACCTCAGACAACAGCAGGAGGCCACACGCCACTTAGACAGCGCCCCCTGCTGTTAGACCCTTGTACTGTTGTGCTGTCTGCCTCTCTGATCTCTCTGTGTGTGTGTGTGTGTGTGTGTGCAGGCGGCTCTGCAGGAATTGGAGGAGCTGAAGCAGATTGTTCCTAAAGAGTCGCTGGTTTACTTCCTCATTGGAAAGGTAAGTGTGACCTTGGACCTCTTTTTGTCATCAGAAACGCTGTCATCACTGAAAGCTGTTCAGGTGTGCAGAGAAATTAAGCAGCTAGTCAGAGCAATCCTTGGAGCAACTGTCAGCCCGTAGTTTCCTGAGTGATGAATAAATGTTCTGATGACTGTGACACCTGTACCTCAGGTGTATAAGAAGCTGGGGCAGACTCACCTGGCTCTGATGAACTTCAGCTGGGCGATGGACCTGGACCCTAAAGGAGCCAACAACCAGATCAAGGAAGCCATCGACAAGAGATACCTGCCTGAGGACGAAGGTACGCACTGTTGCCACTGTTTGGTGATGTCATATGCAGAGAGGAAGTAGTCCACACTCATGTTTAGTTGATGGCGTTTTACCGTCTGTGGTCCTGGGTTTGATTCTTCTGTAGAATCACTGTGTTCGGCACCACTTCACGGAACAAACATGTTTTCACAGCAGAAAAGTGTAAACGTGTTTAACATCATTTCCAGAATTACAAACGAAAATTTAAAATGTGTGTAGAAATGTTGCAAACAACAAACTTGATGTAAAAACGCAGCAAGGGCCTCGGCCACGCATGTATTTAAACCCGTTACAGAAGCTGTCACAATAGGACGCCACACAACTGATTTGTGCCAAAAAGTCGTTCCTGTCCATTACAGGGCAGCAGGGCAGGTCACAGCCCTGACACCTTAATCCCTCCTCCTGTTGTCCACCTGGGCCCATGTCCGAGTATTGTCCTTAGAAAATCTCGTTTTTCCCCGTAACTCTGGTTTTACTCGGCCAATCAACACCAAGTCAGGTTTACAGTTTGAATTTTCAACACAAGTGGAAACGGAGACTTGGCGAGGCTGCGTTGCCATGTGACGCGGACACGCCGGTGTGTCCGTCAAGGGTTAAAATATTCTGTATCTCTGTTAAAATAAAATATTTCAGGGCTTTCTGACAAATACTGAATTTTGGAGTGTGTGGATCAAACGCGAAAGAAAACACTTGTACCTGGAAGCATCGAGGACGTCATTTCCACCCCACAGAAATGAAAAACTGCTGCTGCGGCCCGGCGGGTGCCTAGCAACACGATTGTTTACACACATTTTGACATGAAGCATTTGACAAATGAACTGTAACACAAGCCACACCAAGCTAGCTGTGATTGATAAATAAATATAAGAGATGAGTAACTACTGCGTGGCTCAAGATGGGATGTTGAGCAGAGCGTGTGAGTGAGCCGGGAACTGATGAGCAACGACGGAAGCGTGGCTGAACGCAGCCAAGTGAGAGCAGAGCAGCAGGAGCGGTCTCAGGCCTGAGAACGTGATACAGTCAGAAGCCTTCTGCTTCTGCAGTCACTAGTTTGAAATGTGCTGATATCTTTCTAACCGTTCATTATTTTAGCACACACACATTATCCAGATTCATTTTGATCTTTCACGTTCTTCTGGAAACGTTACTTATTGAATTCTGTTGTCAGCTTATTCCGAGTTCATTTGTAAAAAAAAAAAAAAAAGGTCTAACCTGTCTCCCTCCAGCAGCCGAGGTGGACGACAGTCAGGACAGCAGCATCATGACAGACGCCGACGACACGCAGCTCCACACGGCCGAGAGTGATGACGTTCTTTAACCACGCCCTTTGGCTCCGCCCCAACCCTGGCTTGAGCCAGTCCCTCCCCTGTTTTGATTGGCCAGAGGCGTACTGTTCCTAGGCAATGACAGACCTTCAGTTTAGCTCCGCCTCTCTCCCCATCCTCCTGTTGGCTGAAACGGACTGCTGGTGCCCTGAAACCCCGCCCCCTGACACTTCCTTCCTGTCATGTCATCACAGCTGGGTTTTTTTTTTGTTTTGTTTTTAATATTTTTCTTTTGTTTTGTTTTCCATCCTGATGGTAATAATCAATAAACATTTAAACCCCGCCCACTGCTGTCTGCTTCCTCTGTAGCCAGTCAGAGCCCAGAGTCCTTTTATAGGAAGCAAGTTCAGCTAAAACTGAGTTTGCTAATATTACCATGGTAACAGGTAATGACTCAGATCGGTGAACTCTTCTTCACGTTTGTAACCAAAAACATTTCTCTTCACACTATAGGTTTATCGATGTGAAACTGTGGCTGACCTCTGACCTTTAACTGCTCTGTGAGTGAAGCTGGCATTAGATGACAGTAGAAACATTAGCGTAGCATTTGCCATGAGGCTGTTCAGCTGTCTTGAACAGATGTTGAGTCTGTTGCCGTCAATGACCTGATCAGATTGTTAGATTTAAGGTCAAAGGTCAGGATTCAGCTTCATCTGATCTTGAAGGTGGCCACAGACGGATTTGAATCAAACTTTATTCATTCTGCGATCACAACAGTATCCTGGTATCTGAGCTCCACTGATGATGGCGGTCTGTCACTCAGGGTGAACCTACGACTCTGGTTGCTGAACTGAGACCAGCAGAGTTTGTTTTTAAACTCTGTTTTAGTGAATCTGCTTCCTGGATTAGGGCTCAGGTGAGTGACCACAGGTAACATGAACAGGTGTTAGATGGGAACATGATATCACGTTTCATGCTTTGCCTGAGGACATGCGTGCAGCAGAGGGAGATTTTAATTTCAGGCCAAAATGAAGCTAATCATGAGTGTGTGTTTAAATAGACATTAACGCATTTACATGAAAATACAGCTAGATCGTTTCCAGCATTTAAGGACCATGGACCTATGTGCGTTTTTGGTTATTGTTTTGCTACTGTCTTCATGGATTTAACTATATTATCTATCTGGTAATGCTACTTCTGCAGGCGTGTCCATTTCAAGTTTTGGAGAACCAAAGTGTGAACTGCACACAGTGGACTGGCAAGGCTATTACATGTTTTGCCGTGACACTGGTTTGTACAGGTGATGATTCTTGTGGTTTTGAGCTGATGTGGACTAATTGCAGCCAGTTTCATATTGAAAGACATCCCATAACATCCATCCATTCGCTTCTGCTTATCCTTTTCAGGGTTGCGGGGGTGCTGGAGCCTATTCCAGCTGTGATAGGGGGCGAGGCAATAAAAGGCTGCATGTAGCTGCTAACTGCGGCTCCAAGCTAAAATTTTAAACTGATTTTGCCGCGATTGTGCATGTCCCATAATATCCCATAATAGTCAACCTAAAAACCTCACTCTGGCCTACCATGAACTGTTTACATCATCTGTCCATCCAGACAAAGGGCATAGGGGGGTGGAGCCTATCCCAGCTGTACTCCTGTCTGTCACAGGTCTAACAGACAAGTAGGTGTTTGGACTGTGAGAGGAACCCAGAGAACATGCTCGAGCTGGGATACAAACTAGGAACCTCACAACAGTGCTCACCATTGCGCCTGATGTAGTATTCAGAATGACGTTTTTCTGGTTTGGTTTCATCACTGGGTCTTGCTTAGGGGAGATCGGCAGACGGATTAGTGATCTGGATGCTGTACCTGTCCTTCATGGTGTAGAGTGAGCGGATACAATGCGCTTCCTCTGAAAGGGGGCTGGCCTCCCTTAGAGATCAGGTGAGGAGCTTAGCCTGCTCGAAAGGAGCCAGTTGAGGTGGTTTGGGCATCTGACAAGGATACCTCCTGGGTGAGGTGTTCCAGGCATGTCCCACTGGGAGAAGTCCCCGGGGCAGACCCAGGACACGCTGAAGAGACGATATCTTTCTAACCCTGGGAACGACAAGGTGACTGGGGAGAGGGAGGTCTGGACTTCTCTGTTTAGGCGACCCGTCCCCGGATAAGTGGAAGAAGCACATAAATCTGATAAAACTGCTTCCTGTTTATGTTGTTGACAGCGGTTATGAGGCTGGCGTCATGGCGTTTCTCTGCAGTGATGAAAAACTCGTCAGATTCAAGAGAAACTTTATTGGTACAAAGCACTTGAACAGCCAACAGGCAGAGAGACACAAATGTTTTGGCACCTGGTATCAAACGGCATTCTGGGTATTTTTTTTAATGATGGTGGTGGTGAGGGGTTGGTACAGCACGTCAGCAAAAACACAGAAGAGATATGATTGGTAGAAAGATGACATCAGAGAGATAGAGGCTCGATGATTGGACACATTTTATGAACAACGCTAATAACACTCTTCCTGTTTCCAGAGTCACATGACTTAATGTTTCGCTTTTTCCCACCGTTCTCACACTTCCTGTTTCCTCCAGGAAGTGCTCAAGACAGATGTTAAAATAATGGCGAGTTCATGCTTCAGATGCTTTTTCATCTACTTCTGCACAGCGCAGGCGGACTAAGGATGATCTGATATCCTCGTGTCGGTGTTGTTCCCACATCATCATAATAAATGTTGTTCCAGGTTCAACATTGCAAGTGACCAATCACATTGTTGTGACGTCATACTTTTGCAAGCCAAGCGATTTATTAATTTATGAAATTATAATGCTTACAGTTTATTAAAAACAGTATCCTGAAATGCAAAGAATTCAAATTGCTGTATTGTCGGACAGAGGCGTTTCTCACAAGTAGATTATATTTTTAAGGTGTTTTTTTCCGAAGTCGCAAAAGTATGACGTCACAACAATGTGATTGGTCACTTGCAATGTTGAACCTGGAACAACATTTATTATGATGATGTGGGAACAACACAGACACGAGGATATCGTGCGGCGGACTAACTGGGACACGTTCACGGCCGTGCGTCTGCCGCCAAATTCAAAACGAGCTCAAATTTTCTTCAAAGGTCAGATTAAAGAGCGGGCTCCGGGTATGGGGGGGGCGCTGTGGGCATTTACGCATCACAGGTTTGTGGAGTGTGTGTGTGTGTGTGTGTTTAATCGCATTTAACGCCGTTGGGTCTTTGATCAGGTTTTTAAACGCTGAGCTGATCAGCTTACCACAGGAACTCTTAAGGTTAAACATTTATCTGCTGAAAGTCATATTTATTCATTCATTTGTCACTGCTCAGCTTAAAGTTGATTCGCAGTGGAAATAACAAATATAGGTGAGGCTGATCATGTGACTCTGCACACCTGGGTGAACTCTGGGTGATTTCTGATTCATAAAATCTCTCCAATCCTCGGTAGCTTTGTGTAACATGTATGATGATTTTTTTTTTTCTTCCATTAGGCCGTTTCCTTGGTGACAGCAGGGGGGCAGGGTCTGTAGGCACAGGGTTTGTCCAATCACAGGCCTTGTTTGGCGAGAGAGGCGGACACCTTACGGAAAGAGGAAGTGGTGTGTTAGCATATGTTATGTTTTTACTTTGTGATTTTTTTTATTTTTTTTTTTCCGGACTTCTTACCTCATCGGCCAGGGTGTCGAGGGGTGGAGCTTCAGTTGCATTAAGACTTCCATGGGAGGAAGTGTTGCTAAGATCACAAGGGGAGGAGTCAGCCTGGATGATGATTTCAGCACCGTGGTCGGTTCGAGCTTTGGCGCTCTCTCTGAAGCTCAGCTTCTGAGTCTCGATCTGCAAACACACACGCAGGTCTCACATGACTGGGAATCAGGTCACATGACAAAAATGTGCTGCTCCTGAGCTGGGTGTGTAAAGCGCCAAATAAAAGGACAAAAGAAATTATGCTTCTACTGTAAGCGGACAGAGTTTACAGCAGAGGACAAATTAGGTCGCGTGACACCGGTGACCTGCGTGAGCAGGGCCGAAGACGTCTCCATTTACGGAGGAGACAGCAGGTCTTCTGCGTGCAGGACGTTGTTTGAAGTTTCTATGACACTGCGGTGTAACAGAGGAGTCGGGAGTGCTGACTCTGCTCCTCCGACCCCCATGAGGAGGTGGATGTTAGTGCGTACCTTCTTCTTCCCTCCTCCTGGCACATGAGTGACGTTCTCCAGAGAGCCGACTTTGGACTGAACGGTCTTAAACTCCACCTTCTCTGACTTGATCTCCACCTTCCCTCCACCTGAGGAGTAGAGCAAAGAGATCAGCCGGTACTACTCGTCTGTGCTACTTTTTATTGATCAGCTCTCCACTTAATCTCGAGATATGTGATTGTGGTGTGGAACGTTACCTGGTTTGTGGTGGATGTTGTCTTTGGAGCCGCACTTTGACGTCACATTACTGAGATCCAGCTTCTTGTTGATGATCTGAACCTACAGACAGACAGGTGAGTGTCAGGATCTACCTGAGAGTCAGCTCTGCACAGCAGGTGGACAGATGTACGTTACCTTCCCCCCTCCAGGTGAGTGTTTCAGGTTCTCCGTGGACCCAACCTTTGACTTCACATTGCTGAGGTCGGGCATTGGATGAGAGGGGAGGGGGGGCGTCCGTCCACGAGCACAGCCAGGAGACCTGGGGGGGGTTCGGACCACCGCCACCTGCAGAATGGCAGAACCATTTTAACCACCGGTACCAGTTACAGACACTGTCAGAACCAGTCCTTCTGTTATTGGCTCTTAAAATCCTGCTCCTCACATACAAGGTCTTAAATAATCAGGCCCCATCTTATCTTAATGACCTTGTAGTACCATATCACCCTATTAGAGCACTTCGCTCTCGCTCTGCAGGCCTACTTGTTGTTCCTAGAGTATTTAAAAGTAGAATGGGAGGCAGAGCCTTCAGTTTTCAGGCCCCTCTTCTGTGGAACCAGCTTCCAGTTTGGATTCAGGAGACAGACACTATCTCTACTTTCAAGATCAGGCTTCAAACTTTCCTTTTTGCTAAAGCATATAGTTAGGGCTGGACCAGGTGACCCTGAATCCTCCCTTAGTTATGCTGCAATAGACGTAGGCTGCCGGGGATTCCCATGATGCACTGGGTGTTTCTTCTTCACTCACTATGTGTTAACAGACCTCTCTGCATTGAATCATATCTGTTATTAACCTCTGTCTCTCTTCCACAGCATGTCTTTATCTCTGTCTTCCTTCTCTCACCCCAACCAATCACAGCAGATGGCCCCACCCCTCCCTGAGCCTGGTTCTGCCGGAGGTTTCTTCCTGTTAAAAGGGAGTTTTTCCTTCCCACTGTCGCCAAAGTGCTGCTCATAGGGGGTCATATGATTGTTGGGTTTTTCTCTGTATGTATTATTGTATTGAATTCTATTCTATTCTAAAGTTTGCAGATGACACTGCAGTGATAGGATGCATCGCGCACAGGCAGTCCAAACAGTCGTTACATTAATTGTGAGGTGATGCGCTCATCAGTGAAAATGAAGACCTGCAGTTTTACTTAATGCTGTGTAAATCACAGAACTACACACATTATGTACGGATCATTTCAGTAACATGCGTGCTCTGGAACAACATAGTGACTGCAGACAGAACGACCCTGCTGAACCAGTAACCCTCTGTCAGAGTACCTATACACTGCTGTACTGCTGGTTTGACTGCAGTAAAGCGTATGAATACTTCAGCACCTATCTCAGGTGTTCTCACCTTCTTCACCTCTCTGTTAGGCGTGGACGATCGGCTGGCGGGAGAACGACTTCCTGGACTGCTGACGCCGTCCACGGACTCTGACAGACAGACAGACACGGGTTAGTGGCTCTGATGGGTTAAACTGGTGTGACTGGTTATACTGGGTCAGTGTACCTGTGCTCTTGGCTGAGATCATCTTGGCTGCTCTGGCGCCTCCTGCTGTCCTGGAGGCCTGAAACACAATGTCGGTTACCATGGTGAAAAGGAGCGAGGTCTGAAAGCTGTGAATTTGGGAAAAATCTTCCAGTTCGTGAACATTTCCCATCATCGTGTTGGCCTCGTGCATGGCGCCAGCCTCTGGGAACAGCTGATTATTGATTCCGATCAGTAAGTGTACAGATTTACCTTCATTGATTCTTCAGAAGTTGCCTTCACAGCGGCTTTTTCTGTGGAAGGATTAAAAAAATATCTTAATGTGGACTAATAATCAAAGAACAGCCAGAGTTCGTCGATCGCTGACTCTCTGACTTTGGTAAAAGTTGCTGCTCGTCAGGTTTTTTCATGTTTATCTTATGTGGAGCAAGAGTCGCTTTCTTCTCCGGCTCCAGTTAACAGCCATCCAATCAGAGTGGAGGGGTGGAGCAAAATAAGTTGGGAGTAGGGTTAGGATTAAAGCTCAGTTAGGTGATCAGTTTCTCGTAACACCTTTAGTTATCGATCAAATGTCAGTAATTATTGTTACCAACCTTCCATCTTCTGCGTTTCATAGGCGGGGCCATCTGTGAGGGGGGCGGAGTCTCCATCCATCTTCACTCCTACAGAGGAAGGGAGGACACAGAGAAGAGAGGTGATGAAGAGGAGTCAGTGAGCATGCTCAGGCACGGTGAATCACCATGATGATGATGATAATGCAGAAATACAATCATAAAAGTCTGAAGGTGTCAGCGCAGCTACACCCGAGCCCGCTCTTCCTCTTCCTCCGTGTTAGCTCCGGGCCTAACAGCAGCCTGCCGACTTATCCGGTCACCGCAAACCCGCCGCAGCTGCTCCGAGAATCTCCGAGGAGGAGGATGAAGAGGGTGAAGAGAAGGAGGACGGGCGTTGTCCGGCTCTTACCTCCTGCTGCTGCTGCTGCTGTCGGTTCGTCTGCTGCTCCACCCTGCGCCGCTCTAACAGGGAGGGAGGGGGGCGCAGGCTGCTGCATGCCGGGAGGAAGCTGCCGTTACCATGGCAATCCGTTGCATCCAGACGGAGGAGAGAAAGTGTCGCGTTCTCGTCTCAGGTCGCACTCGATGACGGCGATGAAGTTCCGGCTCTCTTTATACACATTAAAGCAGCTTAAATAACGCGATTCTGCTCCACAGAGTGAAATTCTCACAGGTGTGAGAGGGGTCACAGTAATCTGAACCGGAACTGCAGCTGCACACAGGTGAGAATAAAACAACATCACCTGATATGTGATTGACTGGGACACAGAGACACACAGGCTGTGTCCCAATTAAGAGTCTGCACGCTTGAAGTACGCATTTTAAGTGCGGTTACGTCACCGC